GGCAGCGGGCTGTAGCCAGGACAAGGGGCAGGGGTTGGTGGCGTGAAGAGGCCGGAGCCCGGGAGCCGACGGCGGTCTGGGAAGGGGAGGGCGCTGCGGAGGCAGGATCAGCCCTACCCAAACCATCCCCTACCTCCCTGGTGTAAACGGTACATAAGGCAGCCCTGGCACAGGTCAAGCAGCAGGAAACATCCTGTGTCTCTGAAACGTCTTCAGTACATGCTCAAGAGGTCCCAGGCAGAGGTAAACTTTTTCCTGACCCCAGAGACGACCATGGGTCTGGCCCTGAGCAGACAGACAAGACGGCCTCAGGCAGGAACCTCTGGCACTGATCCCAGCAGGAGCACTGGCACACCCCAGTCAGTCCCCAGTCTTGGCTGTAGCCGGCACCCAGTGCTTCTGACAGAAGCTTGAAAACACCCCAACACTTAGAAAAGGAGGAAAGGGGGAAGTTTTCTGGTTCCTAAAAGGAAACTGGAAAAGGAAATATAATGAACCCACAGAGTCATCGGCGACGTGTAGGGGACGCATGCAGGTGCATGTGCACCCCCTGAGATCGTCTGTGCGGCCCCTGGAAGCACCAGCGGCAAAACCAGAAGTGCACTTCTGGTTTTGCTGCTGGCTCAGTGAACTGCTGCTGTGGAACCCCCCCCTCCCGAGTTGCAATCGGCAGCTGTGAAACCTCTCCCCATCAGCGATCTGGTGCCCCTCAAACTCGGGAGGCACCAGTTGCCCATGCAGAGAGCAGCACGTGACCTGAACAAGTCCTGGCCCGCATCAAAGTGATCCAAGGCCGGAAAGCACTATATAAGAACTAAGTACTAAAGGATCAGAGAAGAAGCAATCCACACCATTCAACAAGAAGGAAGAAATGGACAGCAATAACAAGGAGGTGACTTTTCTACATCTTGCTGAGGCTGATACAGCCAGCCCAGGCTTTCAAAATCTAAACATCCCTGTTAGTGAGATAACATACAAACGGAGCCAGAGTCCACATGGATGAGGGGCAGCAAACACAGGACAATAAGAACAGCAATGTTGCAAGCAAGCACCACTTTCAATACACAGCTATGAGCCTACAGCAGTCTGCCTCTTCTGTCATGCCAACACTTAGAGCTGGAAACCTGCTGACCCAGCAGAATCATTCAAATCCAGCAAATTATTTAGCCAGCAGGTGCCAGTCATTGAATCTGCCTAGTAGCAAGACTTCCAGTACTAAATTAAAGCTGTTCTTCTGGCCTTATTTTTCTGCTCAACAGTTTCTTAGATGAAGTTCAGAGAGTAAGAAGGCAACAGTCTGAGACCCCACAATCCCCTTCTAACAGAAAGGAGCTGCTCATGTTCAGCCAGGAGTACATAGGTGAGATTCTGGGTGCTGAGGTGGAGAGAACCAGATGATACACAGTGGGCACATCTATATCTGCAATAAACTCCAGAGCTTATTGCTTTGCTGCTTCCCATTGCTTACTGCTCTGGAGTTTATTGCTCCTGGGCACAGCATCTTCACATGCGCCCAAGATTGCAGCATGTTGAGCTAGGTCAGAGCAGCCCCCAGGGGTCAGCCTGCCAGCCCAGGGCTGGTCTCCCCAGTTCAGCGTGCTGTAGGGAGGCTGGCAGGGGCATAAGGGTGCTCCAGAGTGGGGCTAGCTAGTAGGCAACACTTGCACTGAAGTACCCTCATGCCTCAGCCAGATGGGACAGAGTCTAAACATGTGCTGCAGAGTTGTATTTACAAATACTATCCTGCTGCAGAGTTAAGTAGTTTAATAGGGGCCCATGTGTAGATGTGTCACGTTTACTGTGCAGCTAATTAATCTACTGGACAGTAAATGTCTTGTTTAGACATGTCTAGTCTGTGACAAATCTCTGTGGCTCAGATTAAAGGATAGGGTCAGTGTAGGAAAAAGGTGGACCATGGAGTAAGACCTGCCCAATTCTCCTGTACCTGGACCTATTCTTTGACTGAAGCCCAACAGCATAAATTAGCGCAATCTCTAAGCTGCTGTATCTTAAACCCAATAGCTAATATCCTTATGGGACTTTACCCCACCTGTGAATTGCTGTATTACAGCAATACTCAGCCCAGCCACTTAAAGCATCTGGTATAGGAACTAGTTACACCATTCTGTGCCATAAGCAGCTCCTCACACCAAGCACATTTTAGGATGGATAGATCAGGGCCAGATTTTACAATTTTGTGCTGCCTGGACAGCAAATGCAAGATTACTAACTTAGAAACTAGCATTCAAAAAAGAAGTGTGGTATACAATGCATGACAGACTTGATTAAGCCAGGCACTGAGCAGGAGATTAAACGATGGGCATAGAGTTTTCGGAAGGAATCTAAGCATAGTGAAGCAGGAGGAGGGATGGCAAAGCTGGATAAGAAAGTATTGTGTCAACAGAAACAATATTAGTGTTCTGGCTGACACAGCAGAGTTGACTTGCATTGAGGTAAAGAATAAAAACAGCAAAAAAATGTAAAGCTTTGAAGGTGCCTGGGCAGAATAATGTTGTAGAAACCAGAAAAATATTTGTACAGATAAAAGAGGCTTTTGAAAAGGCCTGTGCAATGGTAATGGGGGATTTAGCTAATAAATACTGAGGCAGATTCTGCTTTCAGCTATCCAGAGATAAAATATAGAGAAAATCCATTGCCTTATAGTGGCATTATTCCAGATTCACACTAGCCTGGGGGCAGAATATAGCCCACTGACTGGGAAAACAACAGTGTGAATTTAAGGAGGATGCATATTCATGGACATTATACTGAACTGTCAGCCAGGTCATGGATTAATCTGGGCTTAATACCTAGAATCGATTTAATTACAATAAAAAAGCAAACAGCAAAGACTATTCAAAGTCCACTGACATCTAATGGAAGCCTTTCTTTTATTTCTTAGTGGGATTTGGATTAGGTCCCAATATCTGCAGGTCCTAAGGTCCAGTTCAGAATTCTGAAGAGGGTTTGTGGGAAGGGCAGCAGCATAAAAACAGTGAACTTCAGGAATGCAGAATGAAAGGCTACAAAATGAGTGAAAAAAACTGTCTGGCACTTAACCCACACAGAAAAAATGGGGACATACAACATTTAAAAGGCTGTATGGCTTTTAAGCTCTCCATGGTCCAGTGGATGGGGAGACTGGGCTCTATTTCAGCTCTGCCTCAGATTCCTCACACGACCCTGGATATGTTAACTTGTCTAGTCTTCTATTTCTCCTCCCATCTTTTTTCTGATGAGTCTATTGATTGTCAGTTTTTTGGGGTTTGGCTTGTCTCAATTTTATTGTAGAATATTCAATAAAATGGGGCCTTGATCTCAGCTGAGGTCCCCTGAACTACTATAATGCAAGCAATAAATAACAGAAAACAGACAACAAAATAAAATACTGAACCATCTTAAAATAAGGATGCAGAGCTTACATGGAAGCATGAAAAATAGTTAAGGGTCACTGCTTCTTTCTGCATAAGAAAGGAGTGCCTACACTACAGATCAGTTTACCAGGAATAACAGTCAAGATACTTGGCTGTACATACAGAACAAAAGTGAATCTAAAGGTAATACTGAAAGCCTTGAGCTTGATGAATTCAAGCATAGTATCATAGGTCTAAGTAACAAACATCCACAAACATAAAAAGCAGTAGAGAAATGGAGGAAACTTTAAGCAGACAAGTTTAAATTTCTTGTATGAAGAGTTTACTAAATTTTGGTAGGCTAGAATGAGATTATCCACCTAGATTACTGTCCTGTATCTGGTAATGACCCCTCCTGAATGATAAACATGAAAGGAAAAAGTAGAGCAAGTACCACATAATGCATCTATATATTTGTGCAATACTGGATCACAAAGCATTGAGAGTCCTCCTGAACCCAGTGCTGACACACCTGGAAGCATGAAGATTGGTAGCCCTTGTAATGCTGGTCTTCATTTGTGTCAGTGTAGACACTGTTCTGTTTCATGTCAATGCCTAATGAATTTTTGATTTTCATCAAGCTATTTAACTCAACAATATCCTGCGGCACTGAGTGCCTCATGTTAATTATATGGTTCATAAAACACACAACCAGATTGCAGTCTTAGGTTTCTTCTGGTTTAATGTCACTGGGTGTTCTTGTGTTATGGGGAAAGCTTAACAGGTATGGCATTCCTTATTTTATACAGCAATAAGCATTGTAACTTACTGCCCTTCTGGAAGCCTTGAAAGGGAATGGAATAAATGGGAGGGGAGGACTGGTTACTCAACAGGACTAGCTGCTCTGACTCTCTTCAGCAGCTGAGTTGCCTCATAGGCTCTGGTTTTCCAGCTCCCCCTGCTGACTTGTAGGGCTACTGTTCTAGTACAGTGAGTTAGACAAAGCTCTTGGTAAAAGGGAAAGATTAGTTTTCTTCTCAGCCTATAGGCTTGAGACTTGTAACGTTTCAAGTACAGCTTAAATTCGCAATTCTGAGATGTCAGCACTCAAATGTGTTTGGCTTCCTGTGCTGACGCTACAGCAAGCTGACACTACTGCCCCTACTCAAGGCTCTTGTGCAGGATCCTCATGCTGACTTTGCAGAGGGACCAACATATTTATTTACTGGCCTTTGGGTGAGACAAAAGCCAGCTCTTGATTCTTGGCACAAGAATAGGCGGTGCAGGCAAAGCTGCGAGAATTCCTCCTACAGTCTCATTACTTATTTCTTGTATTGCAAGGAATTGAGCCATCCAAAATCTGAGCCAGATATCTCTGGACTCTATGCTGGAGGCTGACTGAGCCACAGGAGAGTCTGTATTAACTCTCAGTCATATCCTCTTTGGCATCCACTTTCAAGCTTTCACTCTTTCTAAGGAAACGTCTTGCGTATTTTGTGAACAGTGAGCTAAAATGCCATCAGCTACTCCTATAATTGATTGATTCCCACAACACATTTATACTTTAGTTATTAATTTTGATTGAACGTTGGCTTAAGATTACACAAGTGGTGGTTTATATAAAGCCCTGAGAAGGAGTACTGCAGCTGGACTAAAGCTCTAAGCGGCACTCAATTCATGTATGACTTCCTAGACTTATTGTGGGCATTTCAATATTGTACTTAGAAAGTTTTCAAGCTTTCACTCTTATCCTCTTTGAACATGGTCAATGTCCAGCGTTAATCAACTAGACAGCAGGAACATTTCCTACCATTTATATCAGGACTGTCAAACATACAGCTGAGCCCAGTCTGCAGAGCCAGGTCATCTGGCCCACAGACTTTTACCCCAGCTCTGGCTTCAATGGGGAACCTTCCCATGGTGGCAGCCAAGCACTTGGGTGAGACCTATGATGTTGGAGCCCCAGCAGCGCCACAGTAAGCAGCCCAGCACTGCAGCTTGTTCCCCCCATTGGCAGCCAAGTGCCTCTAGTGTCAGGCACCTTCCCCCAGTGCTGCTGGGGCTCTAACACTGTAGCTCTTGCCCAGGCACTTGGCTGCAGCCACAGGAAGAAGCTGCAATGTTGCTGGAGCTCCAGCACCATGGCTCTTGCTGGCTTGGCTGACAAACACACAGGCAAGAACAGCAGCACTAGAATCCCAGGAGCATGACAGGAAGAAGCCAGGCACCACTGCTTGTTCATATGGTGGCAGCCAAGTGCCCAGGATGTGGGGCCTGTTTCTGCTGGATCCTGGACTGGCTGGAACAGGTACCACATGGGGCCAGCCCTGCACCATTAATGCAACCTTTGGATCAGTCCCTCACCACTCATCTGGGCTGATTTATGTGAATCTAAAATGATACCATGGATCATATTCAACAAACATCATGATTCTTCCAGTAATGGTGGCTAGTGTTAAAACTATATTTCACTGGACTCCATTTCAGAACTGCTCAGTCTGCAGCCTTCCACAGCGGAGGACCAAAAGCGAGGCAGATACTTTTTCATCAAGTGGAAAAAGGTCATAATTTCCAGACCTGGTGGTAACTCTGAAGCTGCTGCTGTCAATGGACAGTAGTTACTCTGTGGAGAGTAGCAGTGAAAAGTCTGGAACACTCCTCTGAAAAATTGCCATTATCGGTAGTGTTGGTTGTATCCATGTTGGTCTAAGGACATAGGCAGGTAAGGTTCTTCGGGTAAATCTGATATCTTTTATTAGACTAAGTAAAATAGTTGGAAAAATTCTTGTTTGCAAGCTTTCAGATACAAACACCCTTCTTCAGGCAGAGAGGCAAAAATGAGTGGGGAGGGTGCAGATTTTGCATTGCCACTACCTACACTGTACAGGTCTTTGAATAAGCACAGAGGCAATCAGTCTGTTAGGGTATCCAGCCAACAACTTGCATCAGCACTGAAGATAAAACTTATTAGGAGAAGGTACTGGGATCACTGCCTTCTGAAACCCTCTAGTTCTGAAGTGCATCTCTTCTGCATAAACTGTAATCTTGTTTCAGCAAGACCTTGATATTTTCAAGGAGCCTGTAAAGCCCATCCTCCACCTGACAGCCAGATTAACATTTATGCATTGTTAAAAAATAAACACTTTAACCAAAACTGGCCAGTGTTTATGTGAGGAAAGAGACAGCACACATGACTCTTCAAAGAACATTGGCAGCAATTTCCTACTCTGAGTAAAATAAATTAATTAACACACATCCTGTTAGACTTCAAAGAAAATCTGGCTCTGGAGAACAATCCAAAAGACAGGCCCTGCAACTGTTTACAAACAGAGGCTGAGGCAACAAATGCCGCAAAAGGGTAGCTGGAAACTACAGCAAAGACTACACCCAGCTCTCCACATATTAGACTTGCCAGTTTATTAGAGATTCATTAATTCATGACAAATCAGGCAGACAAGTCTCTTTCAGTGACTGTAATGCACCCAAATTTCCAAGCCTAAGCAATGATAAAGTAGTGCTTTACAGTCACTGTGAACACTGATGAAAAAGTGGTAAAAGACAGGTATATGTGTTACAGATCAAGAAAAAAAGGCTGAGAGGAAGATGGTAATTTGTCCAAGGCAACAAAGAAAGGTAGTAGCAGCGAAAGATTTAGAATTCTGTTTTACTGCTAAGACAGGAATAGGCAAGGATGTTTTCCTAGCAATTCTAACACTGGAAGGAACTGATGCTTCGATCATATCACTGGCATTTAGACTCCTGCTCTCATTATATTTCTACCCAAAAGTGGGGTGGGGGAAACGGGAGGGAGAGGGAAGGGAATGACTGCATCTCAGACTGCCATGCACCATCAAAAACTCACCAATCTTGGGTTCCAGCCACGCTGCTGATCTGCCTTTTTGTGGAGCAGCTGCACATTTTAGTCCTTCATGAAGCTCCTTCTGCATGTACTTTATGTCTTGTTAAAAGAGGCGAAATGCAAAGGAAGAAAAGATGGTTCTTGACAGGTTAAAAAAAAATTACATCTAAGATCTGTCAGTTTGGTTTGGGATCCCCATTAAGAAGCTACCATTGTGAGCTCTGCAGAGGCACAGACTTCCTGCCCTGGAAGGGCAGTAAGAAAACATACCTGATTGCTGGAACATAAGTGTTAGCACAACCAAAGTTTCTCAAAATATTTAGAAAAGCTTCTATACCACAGAAGAGGTTATTATTTCAATATTAAACATCTTTTTATTACTTACCAAAAAGGGTCAGAGATGCTGCTGCACAGCCACAAAAGATCTCACCTGATTAGGATTTGTTCCTTGAGTATTTGCAAGTGGTACAAGGTAACATGCTTGCTTTATGTTTGCACAGATGTATGGCAAATCAGCTGCATGGACAATGAAATTTAGCCTCCAAGCTATGCTTATCAAGAGAAATGCTTACACTTGGCCAAGGATCCTGGCTCCAGATGAAGGCCATTTTAGTTTTGCATTGGTAGTCCAAGACAAAGGAAGAGGTCATGGCTGTTTAAGGGCCAAAGATCCAGAAAGAAAGGGTAATTGATAGGGGTGTGCAAAACGGGCCGTATTCGATTCAGCTTAGGCTTCGGCCTGAATCGGGGACAGTGATTTGATTAGTTGATTTGGATCACTGTCCCTGATTCAATTTGGCTGAATCTGAATCTGAAGATTCAATGCTGATTGGGAGAATCAGCAATTCGGCCATAGACACAGCTTTAAATGTTTTTTTTTACATACCTCGAGGTATCAGATATGACTTGTGAACACTGCGATGGTGGGGTGGATGGAGCATCCCACAGGAGCATGGGGGCTTGGCAGCGAAACTGGAAGTGAACTGAAAGCACTTCTGGTCCACTTCTAGGTTTGCTGCCAAGAGCACTGGGGAGCCTGTGCTCCTGTGGGACACTCTTATTTGCCCCACCATCAGCATTCACAAGCTGCCTGGTACCATGAGGTATGTAAAAAAAAAAAGGTTTAAAGCTGTGTCTGTGGTTGAATTGCCAAATCTTTTCAAATCTCTCTGAATCGATCCGGAGAGATTAAAGGCTCTCCTGATTCGATTCTGATTTGGAGATTTGGCCACCAAATCAGGCTGAATCTCTGCTGAATCGAATCAGGGACCGAAGCATCACACAGCCCTAGTAATTAACTAACTTAAATTGAATAAGAAACAACCAACCACCACTGCCAGATACAGAAAGAGTGACAAAGCACTTTATTTGTACATTAAAAATTAAGAGCCAGACATTATTAGGAAGTCAGACCGGCCTTTGCCCATCTTTTGGCTCCAGAGCGGGTTGGAAGAGAGCCTCCCCTCAATGGGTTTCTGATGGCCTCAGCACTCAGTCAGCAGTCTTTCCCCTGAGATGAGCCACCCTCTCAAGCAAATTGCACAAGAGGGGTGTAAATAAAAGCAGCAGAACAAACATCTTCTGTAGATCATTCTCGCATTTGGCAAGAATTAAAGGTTTAATCCAGTAAGGAGCTAAATGTCTGCAGACAGTTACTCAGCACGTTCCAGCAAGTTCCTCTATGCACCTGGCTGAATCCTCAGAACAAGTGAAATAGTCTACTTCCATTTGTGTTTGTAGAAAAGAGTCCCCTCTAGCGGAGAGACATGGCCACAGCAACACAAGCATTGGCTCCACTCTATTCCAGCTTAAGTCTTTCATGCAAGTTCTTGGTCTTCTCTTCATCCCAATTACTTTATTCATGGGGCGCAAAATCCAGTCCTAATTCTTCATCAAGCAAGTGAGCACATTCGGGGAGTCCCTTCTTTGGCTGACACTTCATTCAAGTGTTTTTTTTCTCTCTCTAAATTTACTTATGTTGCTTTTTACATAGATAATAAAATACTGCACTAAAAATGGTATTACAGAACATGTCAGACCTTGAACAAAATATACTGTAGGCATGCCTGCCACTCCTCATGCTTTTGTACATTGCCTGTTTTTTGTGGCCACAAAGATTGTAGCTATATATTGCACACCCATATTTCTCATCAACCGGAATTTCTCTGTTTAAAAACTGTAAATTCTCTGTTAAAAATCCCAAATTCTCTGATTAAAAACTCCCAAATTTGTGTTTTTCCACAATTAAAATGAAGCACCACTAATATCTATCTAGCTATCTAGCTATCAGTTGAACACAATCTTTTATTAATATTTTTACAATTTTAAAGCAATACCAGTGCCTCAAACATTATAATAAAATTAATTCTAAATATCTGTATATTTTGGCATTTGAGTTTTGGGTTTTTTATCAGAGAAAATCAGAGCACTCCCTGCCACCTTCACTTACCAGGATGTGGGTCCAGCTGTGGCTGCCCCCCAGCCCCCCGCTACTTTGTGGCACTGAGCAGCCCTGATATGCCGGTGCCCTTCCCTTGCTATTGCCCCTCACAGATTCACAGAAGTTTAGGGCTGAAAGGACCTTGTGAGATCATCGGGTCCAGCCCCCCTGCTCTGGGCAGGAAACTGCTAGGGTCAAATAACCCCATCAAGGTGTGCACCTCACACCCCAGCCACAGCCCCTCATTCCCAACCCACATCCCCCTGGCCATGCTGGTGCTCCTCACTCCCCACCCACAACCCCTCCAGCTCTGCCGGTGCCCCTCACTTGCAACCTGCAACCTGCAGCCCCCTACCCCCCGCCCCAGCCCTGCTGGAGGGGCCCACAGCTTCCAGGGCTATGGTGCCAGGGACCTGGGTACACAGCTCCCTGCCCCACCGCCCCCCCAGCAAAGCCTCAGCCCCAGCTGCTGCCTGTGGGAGGTAATGGCTGCTGCAGCCAGAGTGGGGGTCAGAGCCCAACTCCCCCTCCCCCACAGGCAGCAGGGGGGAAGCGAGCTGCCTGCTCAGGGCTCAGGGCTCCCCACCCTGCTGCCCTTCTGCAGCCCCCCAGCTGCGGCTGGGCAGGCAGGGGGCACCTTGCCATGGTGATGCGAGGCTCCCGACAGTGGCACTGAGCCTCCTCGCCCTGCTCTGCCCTGCTGCACCAGGTCCCCCCCATTCTGCTGCGGAGGCTCCCGGGGGGACGGGACAGCAAGGCAGGGGGCCCTGAGCCCACAGCAGGCAGTCCACAACAGGCAACCCACATCCACCGCTCCCCAGCATACAAATCTGGGGGGCACATACCCCCCATGCTTTTTCCCATGA